CTTATTATAAAACTAAAAATGAAAACATATATTACATTTGGACACATGATAAAGATCAAAATTATAAAAATTTAAAAATTCATCGAATGATTCATCCTGAATTTAAGATGATCGACCATATTAATCGATGTGGATTAGACAATCGTGAAATTAATTTATGAGAAACAACACATCAAAAAAATATGCTTAATTGTAAATTATCTAAACGAAACAAAACAGGTTATAATGGAATTAATTTTGACAAATCTTTAAATTGTTGGAGATTTCATTATTATGAAAATAACAAACATAAAACAAAAGGGTTTTATATTAACAAAAATAGAACTAGCAAACAAGCAAAACAATTAGCGATAGATTTTAAATTGGAGCATGACAGGAAAACAGGCAATCGAAATAGTTATCCAGTAACTTTTTAGTATTAAAAACTTTTGGCAATTTTCTTTTAATATTTATTTTAACGAGAAATTATTAAATAAATGTAAAAAATATAAAAACAGTGTGTTTTTTAACAATATTTTTAAGACATAATAAAAGTATAAATAGTCTAAACACTCTTCATATAAAAAACTAAGAAACATGGGTAAAATTTCTAATAAGAAGCTTAAGCAGATTCTAAAAAAAGTACACAGCAAAAAAGATTTCATCAAATTGTTAACCAATTACGATCCTGATTATGTGATAACAAATCTGACAAACATCGAACGATTAGCTGATATTCACTATACCGATGACAAAAAAAAGAAAAAATCCAAATCTAAGAAAGAATTGACAGAAAAAAAAAAAAAAAACAAACGAAATATCAAAAATTCGTCCAGGATAATTTTCAAGATATGAGAGAAAAATATGAAACCAACGGTAAAACTTTGAAAGCTATTGCTGAAATGTGAAAAACCAGTTCAGAAAATCCAAAAAATGGATCGGGTTTTATTGAAAATATAAATTAACAAAAAATAAATAGCCCAGAACAATAGATTTTTGCAAACAATATAATAGACGTAGATTAAAACTCGATTTGAACATCTTTGATTAGTCGATCTACAAAATATTACAAAACATAATTTTTTTATTGATTCATATAAACATCAAAAAAAAAAACAACAAAAAAAGTAAAAACAACAATAGAAAGGAAATTGCTACAACTTCTCAGGCAATTTAACTATTGTTAATTAAACAATTTCGATATTACATTCACGTAAATCGAATGGATAACTATTCTTAAATCTGATATTTGCTAATTTAGCTTCTGGATAAAATAATTCGATCAAATATTCTTTACTAGTTTCTTCGATAATATTATTGTCTTTATTAAGAATAAACTTATGATGCTTCAAAAAGTCTCGATGCTTTCTGTCAAGAAGAGCATTTTGCTTATCATTTAACTTAATTTGAGTATATTCAATTATATGTCCATCATTATCAGGATATCTAATTGGTCTTCGAAAATTTGTTTTTTCATTCTCTCTGAACCACGTGAGATTTGTATGTCTTTTTTAACTTTTTCAGAATCAGAATTACTCGAATGAGACATTTTAAATTACACAAAGAAAAATCTAATCGGTTTTGAAAACTGATAAACTTTAATAAAGTTTGCTTGTTTTTACGTTAATTCGCGAACACGAATCGTCAATATATACGATGTATGAATCGATGATACGATTCGATCCCAGTCTCATCGCGAATCGTATAGCAAACGCAGCAAACTAAATAATTTCATTCACTCCCGATAATTTATTACCCCTGTTTAATTCAACTCCGTGTTTGAATTGGACTGCAAGGCAGTAGTATACTTGTATAGTACTTTAGTACTCACTCTTTTTTTTTTTTATTGAAAATTTTAAAGATCGTCCTACAAATGCCATCTTGGCTGAAGTCTGCAACATTTTTGAGATACGATCTTTAAAATTTGGATTACTAGAATTTTTTACAAGAATTATTTTTATAATAGTTTAATTTAAAGAAAAAGTTAATGAAATTTTATTAATATAAAAAAATTAATTTCTCTTTCTTTTAAATTTATAAATATATTCAATTGCATTTTTTCTATTTTTGATTATCTCATTGATTTGTAAACAAATATCTTTAGGCACTTTCAATTTGTTTTTTTCTTTCCCTGTGGCCCAACCATTCTTTAACTATTTATCGATTTTCTTTTCAATAAATATCAGATATATATTTTTGTTTTTTGTTTCGAGTATTAATTTACCTTCGTCTTTATCTACCTCTAAGATTTGTAATATACAAATAAATTCATCAATATAAGAATCACATGAGTTTTCTGAGTTATCAACTGATTTCTTGATAAAATAATGATCGATTAATCTTTTGGATGTTGGTATTTCTAATCTAGTAAATTTTTTTTTTGAACCTAAATATGCTAATCTATCTGCTTGTTCATTCCCATAAATTCCACTATGTCCTTTCACATGATTAAAATATATTTTGCCTTTACGCTCTTTGATTAAATCGTTAAATCTATTGACTAGATCTGTATTTTGCTTAGGTGTTTCGTTGTTGTATGAATAAATAACATACATACTATCTGTATTTATAACAATATCTTGTTGTTTATCAACAATTTCTAATGCTCGTATAGTAGCATATAGTTCAGCTTGGTTGTTTGTTTGAATTTTATCTGGTAATCTTTCAGACAGATTTCGATCATCATTATCAGCAAAAAATACTCCAACACCAGCGATTGATTTTAATTTTCCTAAATAATATTTTCTACCATTTATTTCTTTACAATTATAACAATAACCATCGGTCCAAACTGATAAATAGTTTTTAATATCTTCTATTGGTTTAATAAAATCTTCAGCCTGCTGTCTCGTATTAAATTTTTTATACAAGGCACCAGGAAATTCATGAATCTGTTGTTTACATTGTTCCGATGACAAGTAAATTCCTGGTTCGCGACCAACACGAACCACATAGTAACCTAACGTTGAATAATATGTGAGATTTGACATCTTGCAGTCATTCAACAATGTTGAATTAAACAAGGGTAATAAATTACCAAGAGTGAATTGAGAGTTAGTATAATGTGAAGAAAGTGAATTCCTAAACAAGATACAGTTGGAGTTCCTCTCACCTTATAAAGAACAAATAAAAAAAAATACACAAAGAAAAATCTAATTAGTCTTTGACTGATTAGATGATTGTTTATTGGAATTGAGAAAAATTACAAAGATAGATGTGAGACAGACTACTGATAGACAAAGGGAGAAGGCTTTCGCAAGTTCGATCAAACAGAAAGATAGGTTTGAACCAATCTCTAACGAAACAGTTAATTCTATTATAAAAAAAAACAAAGAAAGGATTTTTCTGGGGTTTATATAGATTTTAATAAATAAAAAAGGAACTAAATACAGAAGGTGTGATCTTCGAGATTTAATAAATAAATATCATAACAGTTCTTGCAAATCTCGTGACAGTGGTATTTTATATTTCTTATTTTAGAAGAACACTCAGAAACTTTGCAATCGTAAAATTCATCTTTAAAACGCATAAACCACTTACAAAGAATTGTTTTTTCTAAACATCGTTGACATTCTTTTTTAGAAAGTTCATACTCTTCGAAAGTTTGTAACGTTATTTGTATTCCTCTTTTGATTTCTATAACAAGCTCTCTATCTTCAATTTTAAAATAATATTCTGATTTTTTGATAGGAATATAATCTTCGTAAGTACAAGTAATAGATGATAAAATATATTTAGTTCCGTGAGTTTTGAACAATGAACAATAGAGGTGATGCCATCTTCTAGAAACCAATTTGATTGATAAGGTGGTTGATAAATCAGATAATGTTATCATGTCTGGGAAAATGTGGTAAAATATCATAAGTAGAATCTCATTTGGTAATTCATTAATATTCTTTTGTTTAAAATATCGATTCTTAAATATTAAATAAAAATAATTCATTTCAAAATTATATAATTAAAAATTTAACTGTTAAATGAAAATTACAGAAATAAATTTCCGTTCGGTAAATAAACTGATTAGATTTATATTATACAAAACGACTAAGATAATCAGTATATGAAATAATCAAATTTAATGATAATAAATGCTCTCAGCATTTTTTACAATTTCTTACAAAATACGCTATATATCCTCCCCCTATAATATATTCTGGTTGAACTGTTTTTAATTTATCTCTTAATTCTGATATGTCATCTCTTCGAAATTCATAGAAGCATTTTGCACAGTATGTAAAACTTTTGCAGATATCACATGTTTTTTTCCCATAACCATCAACTTTATCTATTTTGATAAATAATAAAATATCATACAAACATTCTAAATCAGTATTTTGAAAATCGATCATTTTGAAAAAAAACTATTCCAATTGAAAATACTCCTTGAAATAACTATCAACTTTACCTGTTTCGATAAATAATAAAATATCGCCACATGACATACAATATAACTTTCCAATATCAGCATAGCGATCAGCGTAGTGAAGTATATACCGTGTTGATTGATTGTTTTCATTGACTTCAACTTCGATCCAAGTATATATATTACAATATCGAATATCCCATTTATAACGTTTGGGAGGATAATAAAGTTGATTATACTTTTGTATCAGGCAATATTTTGTTCTATATAGAGAAAAATAATAACTATAAAACCAAAGAAATTGCTGATTCACAAATTTTGTCTTTTGAAAATCAACAAATCTCCGATCGTTTAACTTGTATTTTGAGAATTTGGTGATATCATTTGGGATCAGAAATAAGAATATCAAAAGAAATAATTCGTTTGGTAAAGTATTAAAGTTATCTTTTTGTTTGATAGAGTAAGGAGAAGGTTTCTTCTTTGTATGTTTTTGACAAGGCATATTAAATTACAAAGATAAGTTTCTGTTCGGTATAAAAATACTGAACAGAATTATAATATAAAAATTAAATAACAGTATTATCAATCATATATAGTACATCCTCAGTGGTTCAGATCAGTGTCAATTACAGAAAAATCCCATATTAAGTATATAAAAGATCTTGATAACATATTTTTATGTTTATCATGAATCTTTTTGTATTTTCAAAACAATATGGTTGTGAAATTAAATCGTTATAATCATTACGAAATGTTTCAATTTTACTTAATTTCTTTGGATGTTTTTCATCAAATATAGGATATTCATTACCCATTTGTGGCTAATATTTATCAGAAAAAATAAATACTTGGTTTATTCAACTGAGTATTTTTTTTTTTTAATAAATAATGAAAATAAATTGAATTGAAGTAATAAAATTACAGAATAAAATATGAAAAAATTAATAAAATATATGCTCTTTGACGAATTTAGTATCAAATAATGTTTCTATTATCATTATCATTTCTAACTCGGGGATGGTTTCGACCGTTAGAGAATAGATATTTGATTGCTATTTCAGCTTATCTCTCTTCTTAACAAGTAGCATGATATTGTTAAACTTGTCAATATCATATTCGTTATTTGCAAGATAATCTATCAAAAACTTGGATCGTTGTAATAATTCATAGATTTTCTGCAATTCGATATACTCATTTATGGGAAGTAGATTGTTATCAAAAATTTTGTGTTGCATATTATATTTTTGCAAAGAAAGGATTTTTCACCTTCTTATATGAATTCTCAAGGGATATCGGGTTCCCACAAGTTTGGAATAGTGATTGGTAGATTGGCCTATTTTTGACAAGAATTATAACATGGTTCACACATGAAATGTTTATGAGCTATCCTATCAACTCTTTGATAAAACTCT